AAGTAGTAAAGGTGAATGAATAGAAAAGGTTTTTCTCACTTTTAAATTTCTTTAAAAGATAGTTATTTAAAGCAGATGTAAAGATATTGTATTATGGTGCTTATAATATACATAGAGGAAAGATATATCATAGCAATATAAAAGATGAGTGGAAGAAAATGAAAATATACTGTTGTAAAGTTCATACATTATAAGTGAAATGCTCTAATATTACCCGAAGGTAGAGTGTAAGAAGTTAAAGCAGCATATTATAAATTCTAAAATAAAAAAATAAAACTTCAAACAGGTTGACAAGCTTCAGCCCATGGGCCAGACTTGGATACCTGCCTGTTTTTGTAAGCCACATGTTATTGGAACGCAGCTATGCCCATTCCTTCCCATGTGGCCTGTGGGTGCTTTTGCACTACAGCAGCAGAATTTGAGTAGTTACAACAAAAAGCACATGGCTCACAAAGCCTGAGATATTTACTTTATGGCTCTTTAGAGAAAAAGTTTGCCAACTTTTGACTTAGAAGCCAATAATAGAGATTAGTGAAATGTTAAAAAACAGCCCAGTAACCCCAAAGAAGGCAGAAAAAGAAGAAAAAAGAATAAAGAGCAGACTGGGCAAATAGTAAGATGGTAGATTTGAACCTAACTGTATCAGTAATTATGCTAAATATAAATGATGTAAACACTTCAGTTAAAAGCACAAGTTTCAAACTATTTAAAAGAGCAGGTCACTATTTTAAACATAATAATGGAGACAAACCACCCAGCAATAATCATCAGATTGTTCAAAACAAAAATGGTAACATGTGGAGTTCATGATTTCTGAGAAGCAGCAAAACAAATCTATAACAACAAACTTACTCAGTAGCTACAAGAGACCTGAGGTTGGAGTGGAATTGACCATAAAGGGACTCTTTTTAGGGTGATGGAAATATTCCATATTGTGATTGTGGTATAGTTACATGGATGTATACATTGGTCAGGCTCATCAAACTATACATTCAGAATGGCTGCAATAAAATTGATTTTTAAAAACAAAAATGACTCAGTAAATTTGGGTGGAACACAAAAAGCTTTGTTAAATGTACAGCCAAGCTTGGGAGCTGTTTATTTGCATAACTGTCATTGTCTTTATTATAAGAAACATCCCTATTGTTGAGAAAGAAAAATCTCATTTAGAATCTGCATGAGCAACAGTATTATCCTAACATCTTACTAGCAGTGTTTTTGGTCAAGGACTACATTAACGTTCCTGGGGGACAGAGACATGTTTCCACAGCACCTCGTACCTTATCTGGCGCATGGCAAGACATCAGCAAATGTGTATCAAAGAGTGCTTGCTAGTGACTGTGGGTTCTTCTCAGAGTGAAGACTGCCCTCTAGAAGTATGTTTATTCTGAAGTGTATTATGGGAAACAGCAGAGCTCTTTCCCCGGCCAGATGCTTTCCAGGGTGCATACACTAGCCTGTCTACTTGGGAGAGAGGTCGTTCATTCACCATTTACTCAACAAATTCTGTTTCCTGTGTGCACCAGCCACCATTCTAGATGCAGTGGTGAGCAAAACAGATCCCGTGTGCATGTGTGGAGCTTCTCACCAAGGGAGAGAGCCGAGTGAGTAACTTTATATGGAGAAGCAAAGCTCGTGATGGTGCCAAGTGTTTAGAAGAACACTGGAGCAGGGAAGGGGGAAGGGAGCCTCTGGGCTGCATCTCTGGACTTACTCTTTCTTCCTGGTTGTCAGGGAAGCCTGCCCTTGGAAAGGGAATGTTCTAGCAGTAGCCTCAGAGCAGTAAGGAAGCAGCATGCAGAGCAGGGCATTCCAGGGCATAGGGCTCACCAGTAACGCGTCTGCAAGGAGGTGGTGAGCAACGAGGGGAGGAGGTCACGGGGTGTGGGGGTGAGGGGGAGCTTTGGAGATCATTGGGAGACTGGCACACTTTGCACTGAGTTAGGCAACCAAGGAGGTTTTAGGCAAAGAAGTGACTGGTCTGATTTGGACTGAAAAGGATGGCTTTAGTTGCCGTGTTGGACACAGATTGTAGCAGATCAAGCATAAACATTGGCAGACCATGCACTAACCTCAGTAGGCACGAGGGCAAATGGTCTGACAAAGATGTTTCCTCAGAGACATGAAATTCGTTTTATAGTTTAACTTACTGGGCATTGGAAATTACTCTTTCAGGTATATTTTGCTCAAATACAGCTTAAAGACTAAAACCCAGCTCTTTTTTCTCCTAGCCCAAATCCATTGGCTTTGTTTAAAGGGGGCTATTATGTTCAGACTACATCTGGAGATATTAATGGAGACGGGGACATTTATATTAGCAAATTTAATATGTTGTTTAAAAAGCCATCAGCTGGTGAACAGGATGCTGGGCTTGGAAGGTTTACATACAGAGATGTATAAAGTATGTTCCTCCCCTGCGAGTAAACACATAGACAGATGATGACACATATAAAAGCAAATATGGTACATAACTACGCCTGCAATCTCAGCACTTGGGGAGGCTGAGATGTGGTGATCACTTGAGGTGAGGAGTTCAAGACTAGCCTGAGCAATGTAGTAAGACCTCAACTCTACAAAAAAAAATCAAGAAATTAGCTGTACAGCTGTACAGGTGGTGCACACCTGTAGTTCCAGCTACTCAGGAGGCTGAGGCAGGATGTCATTTGAGCCCAAGAGTTTGAATCTGTCCTGAGTGACATACTGATGCCCTGTCTCAATAAATACATGAGTATCATACGTTCCATCCCATATAAATGGTACAAATGGAAGATACTACAGCAGGAGTTCAAGTCGTGATTGATGGCCTGTGGAGTTAGGGCCGCAGGAGGTGGGTGCATGAGATGAAGGATGGGAAGGATTGAAGTAGTCAGAAAACACCTGGATGTGTGAGGGAGATAAAACAGCGAGTAAGATGGTCTCATTGGGATGCAGGGGTTGGTTTGAGGGTGCCTTCATACCTGTCATGCCGCTGAAAGCCAGGCTGGGGGGAGTGTGTGGGCATTGTGAGCTCATGTACATGTTCAGATGTTGGAGAGCTGGAGGACACCTTGTCTTTTAGAATGTATCCTTCCTCTCTCTGTTGATTGTCTTAAGTCAAATACGTGACTGGAAGTAAAGATGTGCTGTTCTTTGTGTGCCTGTGAGTCCAGACAGCCCTCCTTCTGGGGGCTCTGAGGGTTTGGTGGTTAGCAGTCTCCGAATGACTTGGTAGCTTAAGAGAAGCATAAGGCACCAATATGTAAAAGGAAACCAGTCAACGTAGAAGGCCTGTGATGAGAATCAGAGCCTCACACTGCCTTCAGTTTACCAAGCGTTTGTTGAGTGTCTCTGTGGCTGTGTAGATATGTGGTACTGACTGCTGGGCCCACTTGAAAACACAGCCTGTTCCTGAGGAATTCACGTTCCGGCAGGTGGGGACATGTAAGGAAACATCTAACTTCCTCCTGAAGGAGAGAAATGTGGTAAATGTGGCATATGAAAGACTTAATGTGATGGTGTTGTAAGACGTACACCAAAATCAGGGAGCACTGGAGGTCAAGAGACCAGCTGGTAGAGGAATGCACACCTACCTGGGCACACCAGCATGTGTTCGGAGAGCAAGTGGGGTATGGTGTCCGAAGGGCATACTACTACAGGTCACCCACATCACCAAGCGAGTAATCAACATGAAATAATATGTGTGCTCATGCCTTCCATTCGTGTTTTCACTTATCCGTTCAACAAACATTTATTAAGCACCCACAGTATGCATGGCACTCTTCCAAGGGCTGAAAATATGGTCAATGAAAGAGACAAAGTCCCTACCTTCAGGGAGTTTACAATGAAGTGTCAGGCAGGTAGGCAGCACTAAAGGAGCTTAGTGTATGAGAAAGTGCCTGGTGCATCACTGTCATGTGGTAAGTAGGATTCAATAATTGTCAGTTATGCTGTCTGAACTTGATATTTGGTTAAGTGCCTATACTTGGCAAGAGACCTTGCTGCGTTCCCTTTTGCAGGATGGAGGGTTAGGGGAGATTAAATCATTTGCAGATCGTTTTTAAAACGTTACACCAAAACATGGACCTTCTCATTCAGCTTGGGGGTAATGAAGGTGACTGCTGTGCTGAATGTCACCAGCTGTCTGTTCTAGGCCACTTTGGCTGTGAAAGACAAGGTGCTGAGGCAGGTGCGGCCCTGCACCCTCGGAAGTGGGGCTCTCATCCCGCAGGGTGGGGGGCTGTGGGCTCCCTGTTTCCTGAAAGGCTTATTGTTGTCACTGAGGACGCTTCACAGAAAGCCTTTGTGTCATTATTTAGCAACTGACTGCTTTGGCAAAAGCTCTGTCAATTCTTTTGTTAACTGTATCAGCAGTCAGAAATGATGTACAGGAGGAGAAGGATAAGTGAAATCAAACTAAGTGCAGGTGCTTATGTGTGTGTGTGCGTGCACGCGCGCGCACACACACACACACACACACACATTCAAACATTCACACACCCCTTTAGGTCTGTCTCTGCATCATCTGGAGTGGCACTTGTCACATAAAACACAGGGGATGGCAACACTGTTCATCTTCTCCTTGTTGTGTTCAACAATGTGGATGCTCTTCCCCTGCTGGTCTCCCGCTGGTCTTAACCCTTCTCAGGTGGGAGAGCAGGCTGGATAGTTACATCACAGCGCAAAGTGCATCCTTTTTGTGCAAATTCTTTGCAACAAGATTACATTTTCTTATCTACCTACTTTTCCTGAAACACTAGGGATAGGATGATGGGTAGATTTACTGTTGGAAACCAAGATTTGATGTGACTTTCACCTGAAATAAACTCCTGCTTCTGCAGAAACCAAAATTGGTTGAAAGTGGGGGAGTTGCCACCTTATATTTTGCCCAGATAGAATGCTTTGCGTTACATCTGTGGTTGGAGTTTTGGGTTGAGTCCTGACGTCCTTTCTGCAATACGGCCTGGTGCGTGCATGCTGCTGAGGGTATGGTGTGCGTGACAGGGCTCTGCTGTCCCTTTCAGATGTGAAGCCCTCCAACATGCTCGTGAACACGCGAGGACAAGTCAAGCTGTGTGACTTTGGAGTCAGCACCCAGGTGGGTCTCCTTCTTCTCTCTACAACCCCTTTTTATCTTTAGTCAACTCTCTGGATTGAGAAACCACCTCACTGCCAGACAAACTCCGCATCTCTTCCTCGACTGGGAGCGTGTGATTTATTTTTAATCTCTGAGCAAGTTCCTACATCAGAATATGATTGTTCATTGTTTAATGACAGTAAAAACTGCTGATATTGTAATTACTACTTACGAATAGCAAACTTCATTGATATGCAGCTTTGATAGGAAAACGTTTTGACCAGACAAAAGGGAGGGCAGAGTGGGAGCTGTGCCTGGGGAGCCCGACTGGCCCACAATAAAAATTAATATTGGGAGCAACAATGGTGAGGGCCCGCACAATGTGCAGCACCAATTTTAATTAATTTCCATTTTGGGCCTCTCCCGAGAGCCCCAGCGATAGTGACCCGTGAGCGTGCTGTGATGTTGATTTGAATCGCAGCCACCTCTGCTCCCAGCCAAACACGAGACCAAAGCGAAGGTCAGCACTGTATTATGAGTTGTCAAAGTCTGTTATCCGCCCAGCGCATTCAGCGTGTGCTTCCGTCTAGTAACACCCAGGCAACATTCCCATCTTGAGCCATCCGACTAAAAATCGAGTGTGCTCAGATTCGACTTCAAATCGACTTTTTATGTCAGGCGGGTTTGGGGTACTAAAGCGATAAGCATCCTGCCTAAGTGAATTGTTGAAGGTTATCTGCTATAAACTGTAATGCTGTGCTTGTTTAAATTGGAAATCACATTCAAAAGAAAAGAGAGATTTAATCATTTTTAATGCCTTTGTAGATAAATTTGTTCCCTTTTACATAATTTTTAGTTGATTTATAGGAATGATGATTGTAGGTTAAATGAGGAATAATTGCCCATTTTATTTCCACATTATCTTTATATCGTTCTAACAGACTGTTTTGTCTCATAGCTGGTGAATTCTATAGCCAAGACGTATGTTGGAACAAATGCTTATATGGCGGTAAGTAAACTTATGCAAAAATAACATTTAAAACCAACATCTTTAGCTTTATGTACTTGGTAATGTATAATTCTTGAATTAATTCCACAGTTTTAGCCTAGCAGATCATAAATTACAAAGTCAATCCAGTCTTGATCTCATTTTTAAATCTTTCTAAAAGACATTATGGTTTATATGGGAGCTATCAACTTATCTGACTTTGTTGACTTAACTGGTTGGTTCAAGTGTGAAATCACTGAGTTTTGAAGTTGAAACCTATGGAAAAATTGCACCTTATAGAACATTGGTGGTTTTTCCACATTTCCTATTTAATTAACTCTCAAGTATCCCAGAATGTCAATCAATAAGATAGGTTGATTTTTCCAGAAATACAAACATGCTTTGTCAACAGATCAAAATTAAATTATTAATGTAGCCAAATTTTATTTATGGATCTCTGAATGTAAGGGTTTAGCGGCGGTTCTTTTAGAACTTGTACATCTATAATTTTTTTAGTTCTTTCATTCATGCCATTTGTAAGATAACTTATTTAGTTTCATCGAAATAAATTTACCATGGATAAAAAGTAGATGCATAGAGCTGTGTCAGAGACCACTGTGGACTTGACTTTTGAGTAAGGGAAGTGTTTGTGTCTACAAAAATGCTTTAGTTTATTGGTTTCCACAATTGCTTTGAGAGTGGAAAGGAAAAGGCCAAACAGGAAGCTTATCTAGTATCATTTTTAGAGCAAAGTTTTTTTCTTGTTTTAGGATCCTACGATTAATTTTTGTAATGAAGGCTCTAGATTTTGGTGGTCTCTTTCAACTCCTAATAGCCTTTGTTTATATATCATGAAATTCACTGGTGTTAGTATGACTAGGACCATGTATCTTATCTCAACATTCTTGTATTATCTCAATTAAAGGATTCAGGGATAGAACCCTAAATCTTATTCTCAGAACAATCCAAAGCATTTGTGTTCATTCAAATACCAGAATAGCTCGTTTCTGTCTTGTATTGTTTTAAAAAATAATTTATATTTTCCCATTTTTTGAGGTAATATGAAAATATGAGTTAACCTGGAGTCATTATATATAAATATATAACATATAGATATATAAATATATGCTAAATGTATATATATATTTTTTTTTTTTCTTTGAGTCAGAGTTTCACTCTCATCCAGGCTGGAGTACAGTGGCATGCTGACAACCACTACAACTTCGACCTGCTGGGCTTAGGTGATCCTTCTGCCTCAGCCTCCCAAGTCGCGGAACCACAGGCATGTGCCACCATGCCCAACTAATTTTTTTGATTTATTGTAGAGGTGAGGTCTCACCGTGATGTTTAGACTGGTCTCAAACCCCTGAGCTCAGGCAGTCCTCTCGCCTCTGCCTCCCAAAGTGCTGGGATCACAGACTTGAGCCACCATGCCCGGCCCATCATATATGTTTTTATACAACTTAATCACCTTCCTCACTCTACCAGGCCAGATGAGATTGGTGAGCCACCTTTATAGTCAACAGTGCCTTGCTGAATGCTGCAGTTTTAGTCTTTGAAAGAACATGAAACACTGTGATTAAAAAGAACTATAAGCTGGGCTCGGTGGCTCAGCCTGTAATCCCAGCACTTTGGGAGACTGAGGTGAGTGGATTGCCTGAGCCCGCAGATTCGAGACCCGCCTGGGCAACTTGGCAAGACCTCATCTCTACAATAAATCAAAAATTAGCTGGGCGTGGTAGCACGCGCCTGTAATTCCAGCTACCTGGAAGGCTGAGGCAGAAGGATCGCCAGAGCCCAGCAGGTTGAGGCTGCAGTGGACGGGAGCAGGCCACTGCACTCCAGTCTGGGTGACAGAGTGAGACTTCAACTCAAAAAAAAAAAAAAAAAGGAACTATAAATGAAACAACTTCTCAAATACCCAGCATGTTCTTAGTTGCTTTAAATTGTTCTAATAATTAGATTATATTCTATTGGAAAGTACAAATTCAGATTACAGTTGTCTTTCCCAGGTCTACATTAAAGAAATTACTTTTTTCTTTTTGTTTATGGATGAATATGATGTGTCCACATGCTAACTGAAAATGTGAGGATTCAAATTATGAAACGTTAGCTCACATTGGCTAAAATTGCTTTGCTTCTTAGTTGAGCAAATTCTAGTCACCAGCTTTATAGTTCAGCTGGAACAAACATAAGACACCTAGGAAGGGAATCATGCTAACCTGAGAGTGAGAGCTGCTCGAGGTGGAGGCTCTTTGCCCAAGACTCACCCAGACTGTATGAGATCACAGGTGCATGTGGGGAAGCTGGAAGTAGTCTAATCTAGGCACTGATCCCTGACTTGTATCTGCTGACTCTCTTGAGGGAGAAGGGCTGGGATTTTTTTTGTTGTTGTTTTCATTTGACCATAACCGGTTCTTATTCTAACTGGTTTGTTATATAATTGAATTCTACCTGAGGCACTATGCCAGGTGACAGGAACTCACAGCTCCAAGGCCAAATTCAGCTCACTGCCCAGTTTTGTAAGTAAAGTTTTATTGGAGCATGGCCACACCCATTGGTTTATGTGTTTTGCATGGCTGCCTTAACACTGAGTGGCAGAGATATGAGTAGTTATGGCAGTTGCACCAGAGAGCATATGGCCCACAAAGTGAGAAATATTTCCTCTCTGACCCTTTATGGTAGAAGTTTGCCAGCCCCTGGACTGGGCAGTAAAGGCTGTATCTGAAATAGAGTGCCTTCAGGTACTCAGCCAGTGTTTACTGAGCCCCTCTATACCGTTAGGTACAGAGGAACCATTTGTGATCCAGACGAGGCGTGACGTGTATAGCATCATCATGTGGGATGTAACAGAGACTTAAACTGTACCCAGCATACATTTAGAAGATAAGAAGGGGACCGGGCTTGGTGGCTCAAGCCTGTAATCCCAGCACTTTGGGAGGCCAAAGTGAGTGGATTGCCTGAGCCCACGGATTTGAGAACAGCCAGGCAACTTGGCAAGACCTCATCTCTACAATAAATTTTTGAAAATTAGCTGGGCCTGGTAGCATGCGCCTGTAGTTCCGGCCACTTGGAAGACTGAGGCAGAAGGATCGCCTGAGCCCAGCAGGTCAGTGCTGGGGTGGCCATGAGCATGCCACTGCACTCCAGCCTGGGTGACAGAGTGAGACTCCAACTCAAAAAGAAGATAAGAAGGCACACAGTGTACAAATTTATTATTCAAACAGTTCATGAAAAGGGCACTTGCAAAAGAGCAAGATCACCATGGAAGGATGAACAAAGACTCAGAATAGAAGGCATGGGTGCATTGTGGGGGGAAGGGGACAAGTAAGAAATTGTGGAAATGCATAATTAGAAGTCATCTGATGTCATGCCTGTGCTTTCCATCTGTTTTTCTCACTTTGCATTCTTGCTTACTTCTATATAGTGATGACATCAATAATAATAACTAACACTTAATTAGCACTGTCTGTCAACCACTCTTCTAAGCTCTTACATGTATTAACTTTTTAACTCCTCACAGCACTTGGAAGTAGATAATATTATTCTCCTTTCACAGATGAAGAAACAGGCAAGAAAAGTTAAGTGACTTACCAAGTTCCCACAAGCAAGTAAGTGGTAGTCAGGACTCAGGTCTGAGTGATCCGCTACCAGAGACTGACCGGCCCAGCTGCCACACCTCTCGTTATGCCCCTGTGATCTATGTTTCCTCCAGGCCGGGCAATGAACTTCGCAGGGGCAAAATTTATCCTGCTCACTCTATACATCCGGCCCTCACAGTGCCCGAGCTCCTTCCAGACGAGTGTTGTTCTCTAATTATAAGCAGAGTGTTTAACTTTCTGTATGAAGACTCCTGCTTGTGTTATAAAGTATAGAAGACTCCAGATTACTCACATACAGCCAGCTAAGCTGCTCAAATATTGAAAAGAAAATAAACCAGAAAGAATAGCCCTGCACATGTGAAGAGTCTCACCTTCTTCTCCTATAACCTAAAATGTGAGGTGCAAGAAAAGAAATTTTAAAAAGACAGGGAGCCTTCTGTAACATCCTCAGTCACTAAAAATAAAAACAAAAACGAAACTCATGGGCACGTTAAGCAACAGGGCTTGCAGGAGTCTTGGAAAACGATCTTCAACCTCCTCATTGATAGTAAGGAGACTGCGAGTGTTGGGCTCGAGGACACTGTTTTTTAGGGGCAGATAATTAGGTGCAGTGGACGCTATCATCCAAAGCATGACAGATTTCCAACTACATTTTAGGATTTCATCCAAAAGGATTACAAAGTGGGTCCAGAAGCTTGGGGCTTATATTAGAAGAAACCATTTCTCAGAAACTCTAATTACTAAAAACTTTATTCTATGTTTAAGACAGTAGTCCCTGAAACTTGAACCACCTGTTCAGATCTTGTGGTTTATTTACTATAATTTTTTTAGAAACCAAATATGAAAGTTTGGCATTATTGTTATGAATAACTGTAGCTTAGAATTTTCTTTTTTTGAATTGGAGTCTCACTCCGTTGCCCAGGCTGGAGTGCAATGGCACTCTCACAGCCACCCCAGTGTCGACCTGCTAGGCTCCAGTGATCCTTCCACCTCAACCTTCCAAGTAACTGGAACTACAGGTGCGTGCTACCATGCCCAGCTAATTTTTTATTTATTGTAGAGACGAGGTCTCGCCAAGTTGCCTAGACTGGTCTCGAACCCGTGTACTCAGGCAGTCCACTCACCTCAGCCTTCCAAAGTGCTGGGATTATAGGCTGAGCCACTGAGCCTGGTCTAGAAAATTTTTAAAAATCTTACTCAAACACTTGTCCTTTGGGATCAGAAAGTTTGTCTAAATTACTGTTCTTATCTCCAGAACATTTTTTCTGCCCAGGTGATTCTAATCCCTGGAAATTGTTGTTACCTGGAATAAGATCTGTACAGATGGCATGGCCCAGCTCACCTGGCTCTACTCTGTGGTGGTAGTAGCAGTAGAGATGGTGAGGCTGGTGTTCACAGAGTTCCCGTGTGTGTGTGTGCTAAATCAAGCACGTCGCGTGATTTGCTTAACTTTCTCACACATACCCATAAGGTACACACATTATTATTATTACCTTTATCTTACAGGTGAAGAAGCCAAAGGCAAATCACTTTAGTCCAAGGTCATAGCAAGCGCAAGTTGCAGCGAGGTCACCAGCTTCTGGCTTCTGCTAATAGCAGGCTAGGCTATTCTGTAGAAAAATACTTGTTAAAAGTTTTTTTTTTTTTTTTAATCTCAAATGCACTGAAGAGCTAAAAGAACAATGGGGAACTCCAAAGGGCAATTTGGGGATGAAATTCTGCAGCAGAGAAGAAGGCAGAATGGGAGTAATGCCACATGTCCCAAGGACATCTGCCCATGCCACACTCAGGCAGGAGGGGCACAGGGCAAGCCAGGCTCCCGGGCCACCTGAGTGGGAGGCCTCAGGGTTTGTCCCTGTTCTGTGTGGGCCGCCCAAGTGGCTTGCCTCCATGTGGGGGCAAGCTAGATAGAAAGCTGCTTTTCTTCCCCCAGTCCCAGGAAACGGAGGGAGGCACCAGAACTAAGTGAGAAGCAGGAGGAAAAGGAAGGGTGGAGAGAGTTGTGACCACAGAACAACCCTGGCATGGATTTGCACCCTGGGCAGATGTACTCATGACCTAGATGGGGCAAGGTGATTCGTGCTGAGAAGTTGGTTTAAGGTGAGTGTATCCACCTTAGGCCTCAGTGAACCTCTCCAAAATGTTTCTTTCAAGAGGAAAAACTAGCAAGCAGTTAAAGAAAACTAGGCACACAAGAAAACAAAGCAACATGAAGAAAATCCAGCAGGAACAACAGGCAACAGAAACAGGCATATACAGACTCAAGACCACAAATTTGAAAAGTGACATCGTAGATGCAAAAAGTCCCAAGCAAAACTTCTAGATTAAAACAAATGTACTATACTTGGTAGCACATTGGACACAGCTGAAAAGAGAATTAGTGAACTTAAAGATAGGTCTGAATTAGAACAGTCTGACTCCAGAGCCCTGTTTAACCAGAGATTTTGCCGACTTAAAAAAAAAATCCCCATCACATGTGATACATATTTTGATTACATGTTAATCTAAAGTATCTGTTTTGTTAATTTTCTGAGTAGCCTAACCATAGATAGCAATTCCTTTTTCAGAGGAGATAGGGGTTGCATCTTGGCATCCTCCTGTTTTTGACAAGTGATGCCTGGGGTATTGTGTTGTCAACAGGTAGGTAGTCCTGGAGTTAGTTAACCATGGGTCCTGGGATATGCCAAATCACAGAGGGCAGCTGGAGGGAGTGTGGTGTTTGCCAGCGTGAAGCCACTGCCCTTGTAGCCCTCTGTACATAAATTCTGTTTTCAGACCGCCACCGTTTGTCACTGTTCTTATTAAGGACAGGCTAGGGGTTCATTTTGTTGTTTGCTCATCCCCTAAACCTCAGTACAGAGGTGTTTTGGATGAGAGTCATGTTTTTCCTTGTATTAGCTTTTCACATTGATGGCAGCTGTCATATGAGAAGGTAACCTCAGTTTAAGTTTTTAACCACAAAGTGTCCATTACAGATCTCTGTTAGCAGTGTGGTGCATGGTGGTGGTTTTGTTCTGTTGTGTTTGAAGACAGAGGACAGGGCAGGCCACCCGGACATCAGTGGTGAGAGCAGCCTTGAATTGTGCAGCCTGGGCCTCAAATCCTGGCTTCATCAATTCAGAGTGCAATGGGCCCATCTTGTGTTGAAGTCCGCTCCGGGGCCTAGGTGTGTGTCCTGATCTACCTGAAGGAGGCTGTAGGATCGCTGTGGAGCAGCCACTCCTCTGCAGAATATTCTTGCTTGAGCACCGCATCACACTGCCATCTTGCTAGGGTAACTTGTTGCAAGAATAACTTCTCCTGTGGGAGGTTGTTGGAATCGCATCTACTAAGAGCTCTCTTATTTGCCATCTAATATCTGTGAACATGATCATTTTTTCTGTTGTGTTATTTTTTAATTTTTTATGTGCTTTATTGCCAGCTTGCAGTTGGCGTTTGTTTTGGTAGTTGAGTGAGCGGATGGCATGAATACATTCAATCTCATTTTGGGTCCTGCTGCAATATTTTGTGCAATATTTTGTGTTTGTTTTTGTGTATTCTGGATGAAGTGCTTGCTACTTACCAGTGGAATGAAGAAATGGAAAGAGGAAGGGGAAAGGACAGGGAGTCGGGTGATATCTGATTGTTTCTTTAACAATTCTAGAGGATTGTAGAATTTTCATGTCTACTGGAAGTTCCTGATGGACATAACAGTGATAATGTATGGGGGAGTGCTTCCCAGTTCATATAGTCAACACATCTTGCAGCTCTGCCCTCAGCCTACATGGACAGCACACCCATTACGAGCTAAGTAAGATGTAGTATTCACCTCCGAGGGTGGCAGACTAGAAGCAGACAAAGACAGTGCAGGATAAGAAATACATACTGAAGATATGAACAGCATTTTAATGAAGTCTGGAGGTAGGAGTTGCAATTCTGCCTAAGGAGTAGAGAAAGGTTTTGCCCTAAATAGGAGCTACATGAGGCAAGCTCACCAAGAGGGCAGCAAGGTAGAGACCTAAAAGGTCACTGCCTTCCCAAGGAGCTGGAAGTGCTGAGTGCCTGGGCTGAGTGTGCCAAAGAATCACCCAGAGAAATTATTTTTGAAGATGAAGGTCCCAGTCCCACCCCAGAGACTCTGACTCAAGAGTCCGGTTTGTGGTGAGCCCCCGGCAGATCAAGAAGACTGGTCCATGAACTGCACGGAGAAACACTGGCCAGGTCGAGGCTGTGCAAGGCTCTTCCGACCCCCAGTCCTGTGGGTAGTGTGACACACCAGAAAAACTCTGATTTTGCCATCAGACATGACTGGGTTGAATCCCAGCTCTGCTCCTGAGCAGTACATCTAATGCTAATCCATAGCACTAGACGACAAGCTACTTACTGAGCCTCAGTTGTTATGAGGGCAGTAATACCTCCCTTTGCAAGATTGCTATGAAGTATAGAAGATGCACAGTACCCACTCCGTGTCTGGCACCAATAGGTGGTCATTAAATGGTAGCTACCTCTGTTCTTCCTATAGTGGGTGCAGCACTTCATAGTGATTAGTGGTGTAAACCGACCCTCTGTGCCTCCTCGTCCCCACCTGTGAAGTGGAGATGGCAATAGTACTAATGTATATGGATGTTTGTGAATCTGACATGAAACATCATGAAAAGTACTCTACACAGTACCTTGCATGTGGAAATTCTGTAATAAAGCCACATGATGATGATAGTGACAGTGACACCAACAGTGTCGCTCCTGTGGCGGGCCAGTGAGCTCCATACGAATACATCGTGGCCTCTGTTGCACTGCTGAATTGGCTAATGGGTTTGGGCTATGCTTCCAGCCCTAGCCCGATGAGCTCTGTAATCCTCAGCAACCCTCCCGCCTTGCAAGACTTTGCTTCAAAACCTCTGTGAGCACATGTGCAGGCCGGATCCTGGAGGGACTGGCCAGGAGGCACCACACAGGACGATGCCATTCCTGGAAGGCAGAGTGTGTGTGTGGCAGCTTTTTATACCAGCGTTTGCTGCACACCTTGAATGGAGGTCTAAGAATTCCACGTGGGCCTTTCATAGCAAAAGACACCCTGAGAAATGGAAAAAGATCTGGGACAGCAGATGAATCTGGGTGAAGGAAACATGGATATTCTTTGCACTAATCTTATTCCTTCAACTTTCCTATAAGTAGTTTGAAACTATTTCCAAATCAAATGTTAAAAAATTAAAAGAAACCCTAGTGTTCCTGACCCATCTATCAAAATGCCAGTGAGTGATAATGTCATCTAATGTTGCAAAATGTGTCACTCCACTGGAGTTGGAGGGAGAAGCCCTGGGTTCAATCTCAGCTCATTCGCCAGCCTAGGACCTGGCCTGTTTCCTTCAGCAGAGATGATGAAACCTTCCTCACAGGGACTTGGGAAGGATTCAGTGAGGTTCTCTGTATCTTTATATGGTTTCTATGTGTGATCTATATATACATGGTCATATATACCTACACGTGAAGTTGTTTTGCTATCCCCAAAATGCAGTGCACACATTGAAACCACCCCATCTTGGCCAAACCCTGTCCCCGGGGTGTTCCCTGGAGTATCCTAACTTAGCTCACGGGTTACTCTTGCCCTGTCCCCTGGGTGTTCTCTGGAGTAGCCTAACTCAGCTCATGAGTCCCTTCTGTTTCCTTGCAGCCTGAAAGAATTTCTGGGGAGCAGTATGGAATCCATTCCGATGTCTGGAGCTTGGGGGTCTCATTTATGGAGGTATGTTGTTGTTGTCTGCAGACTGACATATCTTTGCATGTCTGTACTAATGTGTTCGGTCTGGAAGGATGAAGATTTTGAAGGAATACAATAAGGCTTCCGTGTATTATGTGCATAGATATGCAGAGGTTAGGTCTAAAACATTTTGATGCCCTGCATAGCTTGTGACCTGACTCACAGTTTATTCTAAAGTGCTGTTTCATGACAGATCACTTGTGTAAGACTTACCTTGAGTGCTTGTTAAAAATATAGGTTCTCCACCCCATCTAAGACCTGTTAAACTCAGATCTCCAAGAATCTGCCTTGCCATCCTGTTTCCTGGGTGATCCTAGTCCACACTAAATCTGAGGAACTCGTGTTCTAAATGAGAGATTCCAGAAAAATCCCGTGCTTTGTTGGAATGCATACGTAACTTCCATAGGTGATTACCTTGAAAGGTACAGCCTTCCTCATTTGGATGTATATGTTCTGTGTTGGTTTTCAAAGGAAAAAAGCCACCTCATTCTAGTACAATCACATCACATGCATGTGTGGAGACAGGAGCGGTGTGAGATGAGGGGGCAGGGGATGTAGGTATTCAGCAAAAGTTCACTGCCAGGTCTCTTGCAGCTGTATTTAGAATGGACTTTATCTTGGCGAGCAAGGTCTAGCCCCACTCAAGCTCTGTGCTAAGAAGTCTGTAGTGTGGCCACTGAGCTCAAGGAAGTATATCTGACTTACAGTCAAAGACACCCAGCTTTGTTTCTGTCACAATAGGTAGAACCTGGTACTCTCCAGTGCTTCAAGAATTGTTTCTCACATGTTGATTCAGATCAAGAAGGGCTTTTTAGAAAAGTAGAAAGAAATCTTTGAATAAGATCGTTGATAGAGTTGCAATTATGATTTTATAACTTTCTTTAGTCACATATTTTTCCTATGATTTTTGTAATGCATGAATGCAGTTATATTTGTAAGGAAATATCTTCAGACTCAATTCACCTACATGGAAGAATTAAAGGAAAAATAAAGTGTTCATGGTTTATTAAGCCATATTCTTCTGCTGCTTCTTAAATGAAAATCTATGAAGAAACACAGTGTGTATGCATGAGCCGAGAGGGGTTAGCTGTCAGGGAGTTGAAGGTGGAACTGAGTCTCCCAGCAGAAGCCTTTGAGCTTGTGCTGTCTGCTGGTTCAGGGGCAACTGTGCTCGTGGTGTGTGGGACTGAGGCCTTGCTGCGTGTAATTTCCCTTTGCATGTTTGAAATCATTACTGTCGACTGTGTCCTATAAATGACAGGATACTGTGTTTATTGTAGAACAACCGAGAAGTAGCAGTGTAGAGCTGAGAATCCAAATGGGAGGGGAAGACCTTGTTGCAGTGCCCGGTTTGCCACTAGGTTTTCAGGTGACCCTGTCCAATCAGTTTCTCGCTGGGCTTCAGTGTCATCATTTGTAAAGGAATGAACTCTGAACCCCTTTCCCAACTATAACTCTGTGATCTGCTGCTGCACATTTGCAGTTGCTTTTCCTCGGTGTCACTCAGCTCTTGGGTTGTGTGGCTGGGGCGGTGATACAGCGGCATGAGCCGCAGAGGCAACATGGAGGAGAGCACACCTCCTAGCTGGAGGCGAGTATACTGCACGTTCACCTTGAGCGTGTCTATGGTTAGGTATACACGTGTGCTGTGCTCCTGCTGCCCTGCTGGATAGGCAGTGGGGAGAGGGTCATGGAGGGATACCCATCTCCGCTCTGGTGGAGCCACCCTTTGTGAGGCCCAGGGCATGAGGACAGAACAGATCAGTGTTGTTTGCATGTGAAGAAGAGCCTTCTGTCTGCCAAGTATCAACCAGATTCAAATTCCACCTGAGCAGTGGCAGCTGTGGATCTAGGCAGCGCACTCCATTTCTCGGCATCTTCTCATCTCTAGAGAGGAGCACCACTTCAGAGCTGTGGACAAAGTCCATACTGAGAACACATCAAGCCATTGTCCCCTCTCTTTGGAAGGAATTACCTTTTGAAATGTTTGCATTCGATTCAGAAGACTACTCGTCTGGTTAAAGATGATGAGTGGGCTATAAGCTGAAGCTTTCTCCCTCAAACTCCACTAAAATAACCAGAAGGTGGTTTTTTAAAAAAAGTGTAATAAGTACCATCAAGGGAAAGGTGTCCACAGCAGCCAGGATCCGGACGTGAGAAAGCAGGCGGATGCGGTGGACTCCCGAGCCAAGCCGGGAACAAGGTCCCAGGCTGACGGGAGACCATCTGATGTTCTGCAGCCCTAGGGGCTCAGAACCCATGAGCCAGATTTCTGAGCTGGAGTGGAGGTGGGACCAGGAGGAGAGTTGCTGCATCTGCCTGAGAAGCAGTTGACTGCTGGGCCCACAGGCCCTCCCTCACTCAATGTGGGCAGCCAGTTGCTTCCCTAAGCCTAACACAAGACTAGTTGAGAGGTTTTGGCATGGAGAAGTCTGGGCACCATTACTGAGTACAGAGGGTAAGTGAAAGTTTAGATTCTGAATATTGAGAACTGCCACCCTCTTCTAGGACACTGATGGCCAAGACTACCTTTCAGGCAGGTGATTGTCAGAGACTTTCTCTAGGGAAATCTGACAAGAAGTCTTCAAGATCCAGGCATCCCTCAGCCCCCAAGCTCTGTCCTTTAGCCCGGTTTCCATTTTGAGTTTTAGTACTTTACACTTATGAAGACATTTGAGGAAGTCCTTTAGGGTAAGAATGGAGGCCTAAAATAGCAACAACAAAAAAAGCAACTTGGAGGGCCGGAAAACTATGCAGGGGGGAAAATGTCATACTAATAGTATCCTGGGAGGACTAAGAGAAAGCATTGCACTGGGGAAATACAAATATGCTGCTAGAACAAAGGAACTTTCAGAGAACAACAGACAGGAGAGAATGGATGTGGAGGACCAGGTCAGGAAGTCTTGTGTGAAAAACAGAAGCTCCAGCAAAAACAAACAGAGAAAACAAAGGGGAGGAAATCACTAAGAAACGTGCTTTGACTTTAATGTTATAAAGTAGAGGGCATATCTGTATGTCATTTGAGATTGCCCTTCTCTTAACATTCCTGCAGGAAAGCAAAAAACAAAAACCCTAACTTTATTTTTCAAATGACATTCCAGAGTGAGTGAGTCTTTGTTAGGGATTAGTAAATTAGAATTTTTCCCAAGGAAAATTTAGCTTACAAAGTACAAATAGTTGGGTGTAACTACTTTTTGTCTCATTGTAATGTAAAAGCTATTAACATCCCTTTTTTTTCCTTTATACATATTGTTTAATGGATGCCACATAAGACTTATTAGATACCAAGACTATTATAAGCAAACACAAACCATGTGGAGCTATGTAAATAATAAATGTTTTGAACAAATGGCATGTTCATCCAGCCCAGTACCCTAGACAGAAGCTTCCAGAGACATTCAATGGAGAATTTGTCATTTTGTTGTTTTCTTTCTGATACCATTTTTAGAGTCAAGGGCTTTCTTCTCATTCTTGAACCATTAAAGAGCCCAGACTTGAGCTTAACCAGAACTGGGTTCCCATATTGGTACCACCCCTTCTCTTCAGTGGAGTCTTGACCAGTTTACTTTGCCACTCCAAGTGTCAGGTGCTTATCTGTAAGAAGAAGGTAACACTAGAATTCATTCATTCTTTAAGTGTTTATTGAACACCTTTTATGTGTCCAACACTTCACTAAGTGAGGGGGCTACACTGGTAAGTTAAGTGGTCCTGGTCCCTTTCCTTGTTGAGCCTGCAGTATCATGAGGAGGCAGAATATAAGCAATGATAGCAAAATCGTAAGCAAATTAGAAGACTTTCAGTATTGCAGACGTTTTCATGAACACTTAACATTGGCAACTTCATAGGTACTTTGAGAAGCAAGCTTCCCTCTGAAACAGCATCCTGCAGTGTCAGGTGTTCACAAATAACAGGAATTGTGGGTGTTTTCTAGACATAGATCCTGCTTCTACATACACAGAAGCCCTCCCCCTCCTATAAAATAAATCACCCAGAGACCCAGCTGTCTCAGTGGGACTGCGGCTTTGTTTGCCTTTGCAGCCCTTGGTGATTGTGAATGGGTCCGAGGGCTGATGATGGCTCAGGACGCCCTATAAGCAGCTGCGGCCAGCATTTCTAGACTGTTAAAACTAAGCATTTGGTGGGTGTCACTCAGATACTAATATTTTCTCCACTTCTTTTTAAGTAATTATTTTCAAGAATGTGAGTGGAATCTTATTATAGGTTGAGTATTCCTAGTCTGAAAATCCAAAGTACTCTCAATCCAAAACTCAAGACTCTCAGAGGTCACGCTCATTGGAGCATTTTGGATTTCAGGTTTTACAATTAGGAATGCCAGTAACTGTGACGCCAAATATTTCAAAATCTGAAAAAGACTGAAATCTGAAGCATTTCTGGTCCCTGGCACCCTGTGTCATACTCTGTCCGCTGCTCCACTAGTGAGCATCTTGCCTGTTGATCAAGAGTTTCTGCTGAAAGCTACCAAAGAGCTAAAGGGCCCATAGACAAAGAAAATGTCAGCAGGATTGCACAGGAAGGGGGGGTGGACGTGGCTCTGGGAGCCTTGCTGTGGACGCCCTGTCCCTTCAGTGCTGAGGTGTTGGGGAGAAGTACAGGTCACAGTTCCTGTCACTCATTCTTCTGATCTCTCTCCCCTTTCTGTAATTCTGTCTTAGCTTGATTTTTTTCCATTGTCAGTTTTTTGTCTAAAATTTTGTGTAACTTATTGGGAAAAGAAGCTTTTAAACAGCCTCTGGCAGATGATGGATTGACTGGCTCTGTCCTTTGCAGGGTCTGTGAAGGGATCCAGCTGTCTCAGATGACCATGCCTAAATGTGCATTCTCCAGGGTTGTCAGGGGCTGTTGTGAATGTGAAACTGGCAGGCGCTGCGAAGGGCTTCCCACTGAATGAGGCATTGTTGGGTTTGCTTTGTGCTCAGAGCTATCGGGAACAACTGTGAGATTGACGAAACAAGATGGAACAGGTG